AAGGGGTACCCTTTCCCAAAAAAAAAAAAAAAAAAAAAAGTAACCATCTCAACAGTAAGTAGAAAATAAAACACAGGAGGTCAATGACACATTTAACTAGAAGTTGTAATTCAGAAAGGATGGGGGAGGGGTAAGAGGTTGCTTCTCCAAAGAGGCAGTTTGATTTTTTTTTGTTTCTTTGTTTTATTTTTAATTCTATGTATATATGTGTGTCTGTGTGTGGCTACATAAGTGTAGGTGACCTTGGAGGCTGGAAGAGGGCATCAGTTCCTGGAGCTGGAGTTCCAGACAATTGTGAGCTGCCCAGTGTAGGTGCTGGGGACCAAACTCAGGTCCTTCTTAAGAACAGTGTTCTAATCTGCCTTCGATTGCTGTGACAAAACACCCTAACCAATACCAACTTGGAGAGGAAAGAGTATTTATTCAGCTGACATCTCCTGGGTCACAGTTCATCACTGAGGGAGCCCAAGGAACCTGGAGGCAGGAGCTGGAGCACAGGCTGTGGAGGAGCACTGCTTACTGGCTTGCTACCCTGGCCCATGCTCAGCCTACTTTCTTGTACAATACAGAATAACCTGCCCCGGGTGGCAACTGCCCACAGTGGGCTGGGCCCTCCCACATCACTCAAAAATCAAGAAAATACCCCATAGACATGGCCTGGCCATGGGCCAATCTGATGGAGGAAATTCCCCATTTGAGGCTCCCTCTACCTAGGTGTGTCAAGATGACATCTAAAGCACAGACATTATGTGCTCTAACCACTGAGTAATCTCTCCACTCCAGAAGCAGATTATCTTCTTTTTTAAATATTTTATTTATTATTTTTATTTTATGTGTATAAGTATATTGCCTGCATGTATGTGAGTGCACCCACGTTGTGCAATGCCAGCAGAGGTCAGAATAAGGCATTGAATCCCCTGGAACTGGAGTTACAGATGATTGTTAGCCACCATGTGGGTGCTGGGAACCAAACCCAGGTCCTCTGCAAGAGCAGCCAGTGCTCTTAACCACTGAGCCATCTCTCCTGCCCTCAGAAGCAGTTTTTTAATGGAGGGCAATTTGTCAGGTGGTGGGAACAAGTTCCAAGAGAGGATAACAGTACTTGGGAAGGCTAGCTGTGGGACAGAGCCTGGCTCCTTAGAGCACTAGGAGGCAGAGCCAGGGAGGAGGAGCCAGCTGGATCACAGAGGGCCTTGTGCCAGGGACTGTGTTCACAACTTTCCTAGCTTTATCTCTTCTTTCAAAAGTCCTGTAAGGTGAGCACTGCCTTGGTATTTAGGAAACCATGGCTCCTAGAGGCTAAGTCATGTGCTGAGAAGCAGCAGGGCTGGGTTTACAAAGGCACACATTGAACTGCTGTATTGTCACCTCCCAGAGAGGAAGCTGAGGTTCACAGAGCTCAGGCGATCCTTCCTGACTTCGATGGCTTGCCACAGAGCTATAAAGTCCCAAAGAGTTTATAATGTTTGCTTTGTGGGTGTCCCTGTACTGTAAAGCAAGACACGGTTCAAGAAAGGGGGCAGAGTGTAGCCCATTGGTATACAAGGCTCAACACCAAAAATATGATAAATTTCAAAAGGAAACAGGAAGGGGAGAGCCAGAGAGGGTTGGGAAGCTTTTGCTCAGATTAGAACTTAAGGTGTGCTTGGATAGAAAATTATTCATGTGTCTCTGAGATATGCCGCTGGCCAGCAGGGTCTGTCCTGAAGGCTGTAGGGGGCCTGGCCTGCCAGCAGTGGTGATTACCTGGATCTTATATGCTGACCTGGTTGCCATGGAGCCCCATGACCTGGTTACTGCTGACAAGCCCCACAGGAAAGAGCTTGGAGTCAGGCAGGCAGAAGGAGACAGAGGAGGCCAAGTCCTTCCCTGTGCTGGCAGCATGGTGCTTCCCCATAGGCCCCTGGGTTATCTTTGGAGCCTGCGCCCCTGGCCCTTGGCTCTGTGTTCTGAACCCCAGGACCATAGGCAAAGTTCCCAGAGGGCCTGGGCAGTACGTGGGTAGGAGACAGGGCCTCAGAGTGAGTTGGTTTAGGAGATGGGAGGGGGAGTCTTGCCCTCTAGCTGAGCACCAGGGGAGAGGTGGTGTGTGTATGTGTGTGTGTCCATTCAGTAGTGGGAAGGGACAACCCCTTCACCTTCCATGCTCTTTTAGAATGTGTTCCACACTGCTCCACCTGGAGGGGTCCTACTTGTCCCAGAGTCCTAGGATTATGGGATGAACATGTCCCAGGTCCCTGAAAGTGCCACTCCACTGAAGGATTGCCAAAGAACAATTAATTAGGAAGTTTTACTTTTAAAGATTTGTGTGTGTGTGTGTGTGTGTGTGTGTGTGTGTGTGTGTATGTGCCTGTAGGCTTGTGCATTTCAGTGCAGGTGCCAAAGGTGTGTTGGA